GAGGGAGCCATCACCATCGAGCTGGCAGCCTACCCCATTAAGGAGTTTGCCGCCTACTTCCGTAACCTCAACCCCTACAATAACAGCCGAAATCCCTGGTTTCGGGAGTTTTGGGAGCAGAAGTTCAAGTGCAGCTTCCACACGCAGGACTGTAGCCGGTACTCCCTCAAGACAGGCAAGTTTGAGCCAGAGTCCAAGATCACGTTCGTGGTCAATGCAGTCTATGCCATGGCTCACTCTCTCCACAACATGCACCAGGCGCTGTGCCCCAATGCCACCAAGCTCTGTGACGCCATGAAGCCCGTCAATGGCAAGAGGTTCTACAAGGACTATATGCTCAATGTTAATTTTGATGGTGAGTCCAGAGATGGAGACAGGGTTTGGCTGCCTAACTGGAAAGGGATGGGTGGAGGGGCAGGGAAGAGGAAGGAGATCCAAATTTGACCCAAGACCCTCCAATTCCTCCAGCCTGCCCACACCCGGGGAGCCATGGGCTGTGGTTGTCCCAGAATGCCAACAGCCCACCATCACCCTTGGGAGGTCAGCCAGGCCTTCTGTTCCCAGTGTGGAGAAGCTCCACAGTGTAACCAACCCCATCCTGCTACAGCTGGGTGGGACCAGCTCCACAAGGGACCCTCTGAGAACATAGGTTCTTGGAGACCTCACTTGCAAGCGTTGTGGTTTATTCACATTTCAGGGATTAAACTGGAGGAATACCCTTGACCAGGGACCCACATAGTTTGGGGTGAATTAAAAGCATGTCCTCTGTGACTTGGGCTGAGCCCAGGTGTCACTGAGAGCCACGGAGGCTGCAAAATCCCCCACTTTGCCCCTACAAAGCTGGCTGGGGCTGCTGAGCTCTTAGGCACGTGGGGAGGTAGTTCACCTTTGCTTTCCTGCTCCTAACATGTGCCTAGGCAGCAAGTATGAAAGTGAAAGCAGGGAACAGGCTGGACATTTGCGTGTGGCAATGGTGGGATGTGACACCTTGAAGGAGCCCTGCCGCCATGCCAGGAGCAAGCACCCTCTTGCCCCATGGCAGTGACCGTCTCCCCTTCTCCTCCCTCCAGCGCCATTCAGGCCAGCAGACACCAAGAGCGTTGTTCGATTCGACCGCTATGGCGATGGGATCGGGCGCTACAACATCTTCAACTATCACTACATGGATGGGCGGTATCGGTATCAGAAGGTGGGCTACTGGGCTGAGGGGCTCATCCTCAACACCAGCCTCATCCCATGGGCCGAGACCTCCATCCCTGTGTCCCAGTGCAGCGATCCCTGCAAGAAGAATGAGATAAAGAGCATGCAGCCTGGAGACATATGCTGCTGGATCTGCATCCCCTGCCAGCCCTATGAGTATTTGGTGGATGAGTTCACCTGCATGGACTGCGGTCTTGGTTACTGGCCCAACGAGACCCTGAATGGCTGCTATGAGTTGCCCCAAGAGTACATCCGCTGGAAAGACGTCTGGGCCATCGGTCCTGTCACTATCTCTTGCCTGGGATTTATCTCCACTCTCTTTGTTTTCGGAGTCTTCATGAAGAACAATGACACTCCCATCGTGAAGGCCTCTGGCCGGGAGCTCTGCTACATTCTCCTGACTGGGGTCCTCATGTGCTACAGCATGACCTTCATCTTCATCGCAAAGCCCTCCACTGAGGTGTGCACGCTCCGACGCCTGGGGCTGGGCACGTCCTTCGCCGTCTGCTATTCGGCCCTCTTGACCAAGACGAATCGCATCGCCAGGATCTTCAGCGGGGTGAAGGAGGGGGTCCAGCGCCCCCGGTTCATAAGCCCCACATCACAGGTGGTCATCTGCATGGCCCTCATCTCTTGCCAGCTGATTATCGTCATCATCTGGCTGCTGGTGGAAACCCCCGGCACGGGCAAGGAGACTGAGCCTGACAAGAGGTACATCGTCACCCTCAAGTGCAACAACCGCGATTCCAACATGCTCATTTCGCTTACCTACAATGTCCTCTTGATTGTCCTCTGCACGGTCTATGCCTTCAAGACACGGAAATGCCCCGAAAACTTCAACGAGGCCAAGTTTATTGGGTTCACCATGTACACAACCTGCATCATCTGGCTGGCCTTCCTGCCCATCTTCTACGTGACCTCCAGCGACTACCGAGTAAGAGCCTGAGTTTTGGGGGGGCTCTAATTGAGCTTGATCTGAGAGGTCTTGGCAATTTGGGCCTCACAGGGTTTGTGGCCAGGAGATGTGTGGGCCTGGGGAAGGGTCTTCAGCCATGGACCTGGTGATGGTCACCTCTGCATTGGGGTGTTTGGAACCAGGTGAAGGGTGGCTGAAGGGCTGTGGCTGAGGGGGCAATGAGTCCTGGGAAGAAGACATCCCCCATCCCTCTCCCTTGACAGACTGTTTGCTAGGGTGAGGATAGGAAATGGCCCTGAGACCTCCAAAGACACCCTGACCATGGAGGAGTGATTGCCATCATTCAGCTTCATGACACGAAGGCATGAGACAGCACCTGGCACGTCCAGCCACCCCCCCCACCAGGGCATGAATGCCAATCCCAGGGCCAGCACGGTCCCTGGGGAGCTCAGCAGCGCCAGGGACTGGGGAGCATGGGGTGCACCCTGCAGCACCTGGCAAGGGTGCCCAGACACGTTCTTGCCAGGCCCGGAGAACTCGGTGGGGGCGGCTGCAGTCGGGGGCTTCCAGAGAGGACCTGCATCCCCAGGTGGGAGCGCGCACTGGGGTGGGGGGTGCTGGGCTGTCCTGGTTTCAGCTGGGATAGAGTTAATTGTCTTCCTAGTAGCTGGTATAGCGCTATGTTTTGAGTTTAGTATGAGAAGAATGGCCGGTGCCACAGCGAGGGCTTCATCCTGCCCCACTCGGGGCAGAGGGCTGGTGGCCAGAGCGCCTGATGCCCACCCCTGTCTCCAGGTCCAGACCACCACCATGTGCATCTCGGTGAGCCTCAGCGGCACCGTGGTCCTCGGCTGCCTCTTCACCCCCAAGCTCCACATCATACTCTTCCAGCCGCAGAAGAACGTGGCCAGCCACCGCGTGGGCACTGCTCGGTTCAGCGTGGCGGCTGCCGGCCCCAGCCAGTCCCATGGTGAGCACAGTGGGGATGGGGAAGGGCTGGGGAGCAGCGCCCCTTTCCTGGGTGGGGGGGGGGGCGGTGCACCCCAGCATGGGCCCCTGAAAGTGGGGTGCAGGGTAGGGTATGTCTGGAAATGGGGGGACGGAGGGTGCTGTGTCCCCTATGGCTCATCCCTGTCATCTCCCATGGCTGCAGCACTGCCTGCTGGGGGGGTTACTGCTCCCAGGGGCCCGATGCTGCCTCGAGGGGACACGGCCACCCCAAGCACATTCCACCCCAAACCTGGGGGATTCAGCTGCCCCAGGTGCCTGTCACCACCCTAGGGGGACACGGCCACCCCAGGCACCCTCTACCCCAGCCCCCGGGGATGCAGCTCCCCAGGCACCCATCACCCACCACAGTGGGATGCCTTGGCGGGGGGGGGGGGGTTGCTGCTGCCGGATCCCAACCTGCCCCTGACTGCTGCCTTCCCGGCCAGGCTCGGCCTCGCAGTACGTGCCCACGGTGTGCAACGGCCGCGAGGTGGTGGACTCCACGACGTCATCCTTGTGAAGGACGGGGGGGGGCCAGGCCGTGGTGCTGCCGCTCGTGCCCGCGGCCGTGTTGCACCCCAGCTCTCTCCCCAGGGAGAGCAGTGCCCATGGCATGGCCCGCTCGGGTGCCACAAGCAGTCAGGAGGCTCAGCCCCTGCCTCAGCACGAGCTACACATCCCATGCGTTGGGTCACGGTACGTGTCACCCTTCCCTTGCACTGAGACACGTTACACGTCCCCTGTCCCCTGCATTGAGCCATGGCGAATGTCCCCAATCCCTCGAACTGAGCCGTGGTGTACATCCCCCATCACCTGCACTGAGCCATGGCGCGCGTCCCCCCCATCCCTTGCACTGAGCCATGGTGCATGTCCCTCTAAGTCACCTGCACTGAGCCGTTGTGCACCCCCCACATCCCCCGCACTGAGCCCTGGTGAACGTCCCCCCCATCCCTTGCACTGAGCCGTAGCGCACATCGCACGTCCCTTGCACTGACCTGTAGTGCATATCCTCCATTCCCTGCACCAAAACTGCGGTGCAACCCCTCCCCGCCTTGTCCCTTGCACTGAGCCCTGGTGCAAATCCCCCCCTGCCACCTGCACTGAGCCCTGGTGCACAGCCCCCGTCCCTTGCACCGAGCCGTGGCGCACGACCTGACTGCCTCTGGCCAAGCCACGCTGCAACTCCCACTGCTTGCACGGAGCCACGCTGCACCTCCTCCTCCCTCACGCCGAGCCCCGTGCCGGCACACGCTGCCGCTCTAGCCCCTGCCCCATCGCCCACCCTGCTTTCCTGGTGCAGGGTCTTTCCCGTCACCCTTTCCCAGGCGCTTTGCAGTTTCACCTTTTTCTCCTCGTTTTTGGCCCCAGGAAAGCCACCGAGCGCTGCCAGGCTGGGCCCAAGCCCCCTCCCTCCCTCCTTTCGCTGCGCATAGTGCTTCTCACCCCTCACCCCTTCATGGGAGACAGGGCAGGAGCGGGGCAAGTGCTCGCTGGCCCCCCGGCCCCTGCAGAGCCCAGGGGGGTCCGGCAGGGGCTGAAGGCAAATAAGGGAACCCAGATATTTGAGCCCAACCGAGTTTTTAAGAGTAGATTTTTAGTGTGAGCAAGAGTGTGATTTTTTTTTTGTAATTTATGTAAATAAAGTGGTTTTGGTTTTTTTTTTAAAAATAGACTCTTCCAGAGCTCAGGTCAGGCTGAACCTGAGGGAAAGGGGCAGACCCTCGCAGAGGGCAGAGCCACATCATGATATGGGGGCCAGCAGGATCAGGGGGCCATGTGACACCCCCTGCTCACGTACTGCTGGCTCTAGGAAGATGGTTGCACAAAGGACTCGGGGCGCAGCTCCAGGGCCAGGGGTTTAGTGACCTGGCTCCAGTGCCTCTGGGGCCAGGGGCTAGGAGCTGTCAGGGGCTTCGAGGCTGTCACGGGCTTCGGGGCTGGGGGCTGCAGCCCTCCGCTTCAGAGGGATGATGCAGATGCTGTTCTTGGCTTCTTTGACTCTCCACCACCGGCCAAGCCTGTAGATGACAGAGATGAGGGCTACCCTCCACCGAGCCCTTGGAGGAGCAGGGGGGGCTGTGCCCCTGGGTGGCACCAGGGACGGGGGACAGTACCGGTGCTCCTGTCCAAGGCCGGCCACCAGGAAGTCACCGGCTGCAGAGAACTTGAGGCTGTTAACAAAACCCACCTGGAGGGGACAGGGCAGGGTGAGGGGCTCTGGCAGCCTGCTCCTGCCGCCCAGGGAGGGGAGCCCCTGCCCAGAGATGCCCCCAGCCCAGCTCCAATCCCCCACCTCCCCATCCATACCAACGGGATGTCCCAGAGGGGCTCCAGCTTCCGAAATCCCTCACCGCATTTCCAGAGCTTCACGCTGGCGCTGTGGGAGCCTGGGGCAGAGAGAGAAGACTGCCATGCACTCCCACCCAGGCAAGGGAGCAGGACACCCCTCCCCTCTACACCCCCACTCCAAAGCAGCTGCCACACACCTGTAGCCAGGAGGTCACTGTTGCGCAGGGCGGCCACTGCCGAGATCCAGTATGGCTGCTGCAGGCCCTGGGCATCCTGCATGCCATGCGCCTGCCGGGCCAGTGCCAGCGGCTTCTTTTTTGTTAGCCCCCACAGGGCTAGGGACCTGCCAGGGAGGGAAGGGGTGAGGGGGCTGAGGGGGGCACTGCCTGCGCACCCCAGGCACCACCCCGGCCCTGTGCTCACCCATCATCGGCGCCTGACACCATGTGCTCCTCGTTGATGAGCTGGATACAGTCGATGGAGCCCCTGTGAAGAGAAGGGGCAACTGCCATCAGTTATGAGCGTGCTTTAGGATCCTATTTAGGAGACAAGGGCTCACCAGGGCATCAGCATCCCCACAGTGCTGGCAGGCTCCTGGTGATGCTTGGTACCCGCACACCGCTGCCCCAGCCGGACCCACCTGCCTGCAGCCCCCTCTCCCGCCCCAGACCTACTGGTGCCCGTAAAACACAAGCTGCGACTCCTCCGGGATCTTCCAGAGCCGCACGGTACCGTCCCGTCCCCCTGCCGTCACACAGCACTCCCGGCTCAGGCTGTCCAGCCCCGTGATGACATCCTGGTGCCCGAACCTGGAGAAGGAGATGGCAAAGTGCTGTGGCAAGCAGGGCCCTCTGCTACCACGACTCCCCTGGGCCCACTGGCGAACCCTGTGGCAGCACGGTCAGTGGGTTCCCCCCCGCCCAGGTCTTACAGGGTCTCCACGTATGCATTCTCTGCCACATTCCAGACCTTGACGCAGCGGTCGTGGGAGGCACTGTACAGCTGGTGTGTGCCCTTCCGGAAGGACAGACCCTACAGACAGATGGACAGACACAGGCACAGCAGTGAGGGGTGCCGGGGAGGACGTGGCTGCCCAGCCCCACAGGCATCATGGCTGATGCCCAAAACTCACCGAGACGGCATCGCGGTGCCCAGTGAAGATGTGCAGGCGCTTGCAGGTGGCTGCATCCCAGATCATGATCAGCTTGTTCCTGTCTCCTGTGGCCTGGCAAACAACAGGGGATGCCCGAGACCTGCCCCTCAGGGACCCACGGCCCACCCCATGTTCTTTGGGGGGTCCCAGAAACCCATTCTAGACTCTGGTGGGGGTAGGGGCTGCTTTAACCCAGCAAGGTACATCTGGGCATGAGACGCTGCCCCCCAGGACCCTGGGAGGAGATGCACTCCCCACGGCCACCTCTCCACCCCATGCGGCAACGCCAGACCCCTCTCTCCGTACCAGGTACTTGCCATCTGACGAGATGGCCATACAGAGGACGTGGGATGCGTGCCCCATGTGCCGCTCCTCGGTGCCCTTCTTCCCCCCGGGCACCACGCACAACCTCTTCCCGCTCTCCACCTCCCCTATGGGAAAAGCATCACCGTCACCCCCTGGGACCCTCCCACCACTCCAGAAAGCACCAAGAAGCCTCCCACAGAAACTAGAACAATGCACATGCACATTCCCAGAGGGGCTGGAGGCCAAACCACCCCCGTGAGCACCCACAGTCCTGCTCCTGCAGGGTCCCTGCGGGGCTCAGGCTGGGGGCCAGTCATAGCCCCAAAGAAACACTTGCATTTGATGAGGGAGCCGTCCTTGGAAGCAGAAAAGATGAACCTGTCATCTGGAGAGATGACCAGGCAGGTGACGGGCAGCTGGTGCCCCCGCAGCATGCGGATGCTGGCTGGATCCGGAGGCTGCACCTGCAGGGAGAGCAGGATGTGTGCTTGGCTGCCCCGGCCCCTTCCCCACGCATAGGAGTACCCGAGCACGGCACCCTCTCTTCTCCTGGGTGCCAGCAGCTGGCACTCCAGGTGGGAGAAGGGCCCTGGTCCCATAGCTGGCACGGCAACTCGGGGTGCCAGCTCTAGCCATGCCCGAGCGTCCCCCAAAGCCAGCACTTACGGTCTGGCACCCCCAGCGCTGGGCACTTACATCTTTGGCGACCAGGCGCTGCAGCCGGCCCTTCTGCTCGAGCTGGGGAAGAAGCAGGAGGCTCAGCGGAGGCGGCCGCGGCCCCACGGGAGAGGGGCAGAGCCCGCCGCCGCCACCGGGACAGAGGGGATGCGCCCGCCCCCCTGCTCACCACGTCCTCCTTCAGCCGGTCGCCGATGAGATCCGCCGGCTGGGTCTCCTCCTCCTCCGCCGCCGCCCGCTCCTCCTCTGCAGCAGAGACAGTGCATGAGGGCCGGGCTCAGCTCCCGGAGCCGTCCCGCCGGGGCTCCGGCACCGGGGGCCGGGCGGGACTCACCGTGCTGGCGGAGTTGCTCCAGGTACAGCTTGGCCAGGCGCAGCTTCTTCTCCTGCGGCGTCTCCTCCACCTCCTCCTCCGCCGCCTCCCGCCGCCGCCGCCCCAACGACGGGCTGCGGGGACACGCGTGAGCACCCCCACCGGTACCGGCATCCCCCCCCCGCCCCGTGGCGCAGGCCTTACCTCTCCGGCTCGGAGTCGCTAGACACCTCCTCGTCGACGGGCCGGCCGGCCGCCGCCCGCGGCCTCCCCTCGGCGCCCGGGACCTACGGGACGAACCGGGCTGATCAACGGGACGGGGAGGGGCGCGGCGACCCCGCCGGGGCAGCCC